CAGAGCAATGAAGTTCAGCTCCCTTCTCTTTTTCCAGTGCTTACTGGGGGGTGGCAGGGGTGCAGGGTACAACACCTCGGAGCCTTCGCCCCACAGACTCCGTTGTCAGGTCTGTCGGGCCTTTGGAAAGCATCCCAGCTCTAGGAACTGTACACGCGCGAGCTGCACACCTCAGAACTGTCTCCTCCAAGGCTGCACCAAACTTCAGGATGACAACAGCACAAAAAACCCTAGAGAAACCTTCAAATACTTTTATTTCATGCACTAGGTGTAGATAAACGTGACAAACCATTTTATGGAAAAGTGCAGAGTGGTGAAATCACAGCATCTCCAACTCCAGCTTTGAATCGAGCTTAGGCATCAGTATTTTCTGTCTCGGAACTACTGATTGCTGCAGACAATGCAGCCCCAAGTGGTCACACTTCAACTGCTGCAGTTAAAAATTCATCAAGGTACTTCCACGCTGCAACTATCAGAAAAGTCTTTTGCCAGACATGAACTAGTAGCTAATGATCTAACGCAAATGTGCAAAAAAGAAAATCAAATTGAATCATTTTTCTAATTTAATAGAAATAACCAAAACAAAATGGTTTTCAAACAATGCTTTAAACTGACCTAATACAACTTCTACAGTACATTCCAGAGCACTTAACAAGAAATATTTACAGGCAGCTAATGTATTAAATAATCATGTAAAGAAAACTTTTTTTTTTTTTTTACACACCAGCAAAATACACAGGAACAGAACAATTGGAAACAGTAACCTTGTTTTAAAAAAGTTAAATATGATTATTCAGATAACACAATACCACAGAAACAGCACGTTTTTAAAGAATTGTATTAAAAGATCAGCGAAGTTTACTATGTGCAAAAAAGAACCAGTTCAATTACCGGAAGCAAGAAATAATCAAAGAATCAAAGAATGCCATGAATTTAACCCTTCCATGAGCACGTTTACATGTAAAACAGGCTTTCAACTGCACAAATCTTTATAGCTTTATATACATGTTTCACGGTGTTCTGAACTCAAGAAATACTCCCATTTGCAGGGCATTAGCAGACATGCGCTTTTTTTTTTGTAGTGTAGCTCACACTCTGGAGTGAATGCTGCAACAAGTTGAACTTACAAAATATTTTAGTACCTCTGCTTGTAGAAATAAGTTCTAAAGGAAGCAGACCTGAACTGTAAGATCACTCAATAGAAAAGGCCAAAACTGCATTTCATACATTTAATAGTTCACTTACAATAAAGCCACTCAAATTAACTGCAAATTTTGGAAACTAATTCAATTCAGATACATTAGAAAGCATATAAAGTAGGATCCCCATAAGCAAACACAGGAGCTAGATGGGAGTTACTGTACATGCACATTGAGAAAATAAAAGAAATCGCCGTACCTGAAGATACAATGCATATGTTCAATCTGAAATATGTCTATGTAAATTGTGGCATATACATTTTTTTTAAAAAAAGTACCTCAGTTATTTACTCAAACACCTACTTTTTAAAAAAATATGTAACTTTCCCCAATTTTTAAAATAAAATGCCACACTATATTGTCAATAACTCCTGCAGACTTTTTTTTAAAAGCTCGACTTGGTGATACGCATACAAACTTTCCTATAAAATCACTATCCAAAGGAAAGGATTCCTGTCATGCTAATAGGCAACAGACAAAGCAGTTTTATTGCTTTTTCCAAGGAAGAAAGTAAGAAAAACAAGAAAAAGCCAACTTCCAGTACATCACACACATAGCTTTAAAATACTGCTGCCACTACATATACTTTTAGAGGTCAGCCAATATACTTGGTTATACAATAGAATGATAAATTTGGGCTAATTTTAAGAACTTCTGTTCCAGTGGCTTGCAGAAATCTTTTTAAAACATTTCAATGATCCAGTGTCGTGTGCTGACACAGTCAAATGTCATAAGCAATAGAAATGGTGACATTCCACACAAAAAAACAACCTCTCTACATTTAACAGAGCATTTCTATTTTCAAAAGTTTGGGGAACATCATTTTTTTGGATAGTAACTCTGCCTTATTATACTATAGGCCACTTAATTCCAGGGCATAGTTAAATAAAGGACCTGAACCTATTCGGCTCGTTAATTTATCACTAATCACTAGTAACTACATGGCAGGATACCTGCTGAGGTAATTGAGAAGTCCCCAAGTAGCACACTGTACATTTTTCACTCTTATTTCAAAAGCAAGTTGCCTTCTGCCTCTTTGGATTAACTTAAACTTCAGGGTCATTTACAACAAAAATTGAGACATGGTCTTTTTTACAAGTGTCTTAAATGAGGGCATACAGTTACATCATGTGCCAGGCTCCCTTCTCGCTATCGTCTTGAAACACTGCAGCCATGCAGACACAGGAGCTGGCATGCAGTGTGCACCCACCGCATCTTTTATCTGCTACAAGTTTTGCTGATGTAAGCTATGCTCTAATTTCCAGGGCAAAACACACCATCACTTGCACATATCACACACACATCATCTGGCATAGAGAAGATACTCAGAGTAACACAGTGGCCTGTTAATACAAACCCCACTAATTTGCTCTTGAAAAAATTACATATAGCGTGGCACCAAAAAGTTGTTTTGACTGAGCAAACACCAGGTCTACGATGAACATCTACAGACTATAGGATCAGGAAACGTATTAGTAGAACTCATCTATCCTTTCAAATATTTTTTTAATAGAAATCAGCTAATTAAGGACAAACGCTTAAGATTTCTTGCACACAAGTCAAAATTCCACATAATACTACTGAGCACTGATGAACTGAATGGAAGGACCAATTCTAGAAGTTCAGTGAGTTATGCGCAAGAGTAGTCTGAACTCTCACCGAGGCCAAAGCTTAGCACCACTTGTGGTTTGCAGGTGAACTACCGGCATACAGGCTAAGTCACCAGCCTACAGTTTGACAATTTTTCTTCCTTGTCATAGGGAGTGAGCCAATCAGAGCGGCTATCTCAAAACATTCAGACATCTGGTCTGGGGTCTGGTACCTGGGGTCGGGGTGGAAAAGCGATGGTATGGCTCTTGCAGCAGCCAGCGAACACGTGCTACCCCTGAACTGCAGCTGTGCAGCGCGGTCCTTCCCCCATGCTGCGACCCAGTCCAGGATGCCATCACGCTTGTCCCAGGCTCCAGGCAGAGGGTATCCGCAGTCCTTGAATCCGTGACTGGTGCCTTACAAAGTGAACAGTGAAAAAGTTGAGGCCTGCAGGTACACAACCTAGAATGCTTAAGCACCATAAAAATGGTAAACCCAATTGAAGAGAATTCACAAGATCTTATTTTCACGATAATTTTAATAATATTCCTTTGCAAAATGAAGCTGAGAAACTAGAGATGCATCAAAAGGCAATACAGAGAGCCATTAAATGATCCCTTGTTACTACTGGTGTCCTATTCACACATGTTGTCCTTTCTACAGACAAAGTTCTTGCCATTTGTCAATTTAATAGGTTTAAGTAGAAATACTTTCGCTTTCACACAGAAACTTGTAAAAAATAAATTTAAACTGTCACTATGTTAATATCTGAGAAACGAAAAAAAACCACCCACCTCCATTTGAGTTTTAAGTGTAACATTTGCGTAATCTGAAGAAGTGAGCTTCAAGTTACAAATACCTTCAGTCCCCTTATTTATTGTAAGAGAGGTATAGTCACAATGCACACAGACTTCATTCTTATAAAAGGAAATCAAATCTTAAGTGAATTGCATAAAAATTGCTGAGAGCATCTCTCAATTTGATACATTGTGCTAAAATATTTATCTTTACCATTATGGTAAAGTGTATACAACGTCACAGGAATTGCTCATGGAAAACCCTGGTGATTTACCACAGAACTGCTGTATTCACACAAAATCTTACGGCAAATTTATAGTCTGTCAACTTTACTTCATCCAATTACATGATTTCTTCGTCTTATTTTAACAAGACCTATATGAAGGCCAGAAATTACATTTATTATTTCTAGTACTGATTTCTGTCAGTAAAGAAAACAACTGTTCCAACTATAATTACTTTGTGATGACCTCATTTCTAACCAGAAATGCTGAAATGAAGGCAATGTGCAATGAGAAGGCACTGCAGAGATGCCTGCCAAAGGGTTTAGGGAAACAGGGGAACTGTTCTGTTTTCAATATTTGACCAGACACCACTCAAAACCAAATCCCGGTCTGTGCAAATGCTTTGTCCAATGGATGGACAAATAACCCAATCTCAACAGATTTATTCCAATCTTTCTAGACATTTCGCTCAAAAGCTGCTTCTGAAGAAAGTTCTGAGTAGTACTCTAACAAAAATAAGACAGAACCTCAAAATGAATGCAATGTTAGAAATAGCATATATTACAAATCTTTTCTTGATAGGAACAATTAATAAGAATACATATTAGCTTAAAAACAGCTCAGCAAATGTTGCTGATCTGCAAGAAATCTCAATTCACTATTTACAAATAAGACAAAGTGAATACAGGAAATTTTACACATTTGGTAGTTAATAGGTTATTGTTTGCCAAGTGGTCTATTAGAAACTGACATTTAGGAAGACTGGAAAAATACCCCAACCAGTTATTACCTCTTCAGTCTATATTTTAAGTACAGAAAATTAGATAATGAATACTGGACATAACATTCTGCCTCATTATGGGGATCAGGGACAGGTGACACAACGCTAAGACTTCTGTCATGAACGCCATTAAAGTGTTCTGTGTACAGGATTCATAATAAATACACCCAGCCCTACTGAAAAGAGATTGTTGCCACCAGTTCAGTCTTTCATCCGTCAAGAACTCACACTCCTGCACTTGCCAATTCAGAACAGTTTAATGATTTTTCTTTTCCTTTTGCTGTACATAAAATGTAGTAAAGAAAGTCAAATTTAGGTAACTGGATCAACACAGAATATCAGTTATTCACAATACTGCTTAAACGAGATGATAAAAGCAATGACCAACACACACTTAAGTTCGCACGAAGAGGAGATTTCAGGAACACTGCTTACAGTTTACACTGCAGTCCAGCATGAATGCAAGATACAGTAACTGCACTGGTCCAGTTCTGCAGAACATTGTGCTAAGCAGTCTTATCTGTACATGGAACATCTCTTATCAAGTCTGCTTCTCTTCAACATTCATCCACCTCTATCTGAGACCAGGATGAGGGTGTCCCTTCCATCAGGAAAAAGAATATAGCAAACAATCAAGGAAAAAAAAAAAGTCACCAAAAATTTACAATACAGGTTTTTTTCCCCTTTTGATGAGAATGTTTTTCTGTACAAATGTTTTTTGTAATCTAATACTGTTTAAAAAGCTATCAGCTTCTTCAAGATGGCCACTGCAGGCATGATAATATTCCAGGAACACTTAAATAACAGTTTTTACAATAATTTTTAGGTCCATATCGCTAGGTTACTTTATATGCACTGGTCTCTCATCTGATTTTAGGCGTTTTCTACGTGGTTGTATAAAATCTTCATCGGAGTCCTCAGTTATTTCACCATCATCCTCTTCCTGCTCAAATTCAGGCAAAGGCTGGAAGGTCCTGTCTGGGTAGATCTCTGTAAGTTTCTCTTCAAAGTATAATGCAACTGCCTTCCCTGCCTGCGCTACTTCTGAATCAGCCTGTAAATAAAAGAAGACAGGAATATTCACCTGTTGGAAATGCACATCCCTTCACCAAGTGTGCATGGTCTGAAACGCTTACCTTCAAATTAATCTCTTGTGTTTCTGCATAAACTTGAACAACTTTCATCATCTAAAAAGGATACCAGAGTCAAAAAAAAATGAAATTATAATCCTTTCTAAAGTTATGAGATTGCATAGGATTGGATGACTAAAGTCAGCCATAACAACAAGTTTGTTATGGACTACACCTCTTTAGAGTTCTCAAACTTAGCGGAAGCAGGTTTAAAACAGTCTTAGGAAAGTGACATGAGATAAATCAACCTTCAACAAAACACACAACTTTCATACAATAAGTGTCTCCCAGTCATTTTCAAAACTGTGCTCTACTCATGACTGCTTTCTTCATTATACATTTTAGTTGCCTGCACATTACTATCTCTTTAGAGAGAAGTGCTCCATGAGCCTACTTTCTTGCGGGTCTTACCCCACTTTGATTTATATTTTTTTAAAAGCATACGGCTTAGAGGCACTAGACATGATGCTATCATGAGAGCTCAGGGTGACTCATCTTCTGCCATAAGCCAGCATTTCAAACAGAGAGAATAGTCTGAAACACCTTTTCTTTTTTTTTTTTTTTTTTTTAAAAAAACAACCCACATCCATGAGTCCTTGCTCCCTTGTTTTACTCTTGTCCCTAAGAGCTGCAGCATGTTTTCCTCTACAGTAGATGCTTCATTAACTCCTTTGTTTGAGAAGTTCACATAATTGCAACTTCTTCCACAGTGCTCATTAACCTCCACCTAATGCAGAGACATAACGGAGTCAGGAGTGTCAAAGTCCCAAATGCTTCTGAGCATTTAGAGCATTACATCATTAACTTTGATTTTCACTAGTGTACTTGTGAAACAGTTGAGATTTTAATTGCGGGTTTGTGTACTTTCTTCAATTTACTTCTTCACAGAGCCAGAAATGCAGCCCAAACGCTGCAAAACTCAGATTACATTTTACAAGAAAATACTGGCTGTTTTATGCATTTCTAAGGTCAGAAGAAAGCCATTCCTTGTGATGTCTTCTCCCCAGGCCTTTCTGTCATCCTTGCTTTAAGGCATCTCAGATATGAGGATACCCTCTGATCTCAGCTCCTACTCTGTTTCAGCACAACACCACAATTTTTTTTTTGATATCCAGAATATTTTTTCCATTGCTTCACCTAGTAATAACTCATGGTAATTTATCTCCCCGAGTGACATTTCACATGTAAGGTGCAAATATTTCATTATCAGATGGGTTCATTGCAAAGTAAGTCAGCTTTCCACATTCATCAAAAATAGGACTCCATAGCAAAGTTATCTACTGAAAACCACTTTTTGGGAGAGCCCATCTACCCATAAGCTAAAGCACTAAGCTTAATACTAGCCATTACAAATACATCACTTTTCTGGATTCTGCCTGCATGAGGTACTAGAACCAGTAGAAGGTTCTTCAGAAAGGCACTTTTCCTCAGCAGAGGTCTACCATGCTTCATGAGTAGAAGCACAATTATCTGTATAGCTTGACACAGTTTTAAGGACTGCTTGATTGTATTTATTATCACACTCCCTAAGCACTTATACAATCTATTCAACATGCAGTAACAAGATCACCCTGCTCCTCAGTCCTATATTCATAGCAGTGAACGCATTTAAAAAGTTCCTTCTGCTAAAGCCTGATCTCCCCATCTAGCTGAAACTGAGAGGTAGTTCTGTAATTGCATTTGTTTTGTTTGAAGTGTCTGATTCAACATCTGCTCCATAAGCCTTTAACTGGAGAAGCTGCACAACCATGTTGAAATATATCTTAATCTAAAAAAACGTATACAGATTGGAAGTTAACATACTTCATTAAACCTTTCACAGTTCTTGAAGATCAACCGGACATCTGCCACAAAATCCTCAGGAGTCTGGTAGTGTTGGGAATGCTTCTTTTGCAGTTTCTTTTTCACTGTAGATAAATCCATTGGTTTCTTTATAATTTTATAGTAGTTTGGTATCTGCAAAAAACAAACAGTGATTTATCACTACAATGGCTACATGGTTCACAGAGCAATAGAATTTTTTCATTTATCAAAATATCAATCAGCTAACCTCATCATGCACTGTATGCCCGTTCAGCAAGTGAGAACAATTTCCTTTCCTCAAACTCTTTAAGAAGTTCTTTCTACCCTTCAGTGTTTCTCATAGCAATGCTTTTCATTTCAGTTACTTCTTTTACAGCTGAAAACAGCAGTCAAAGAAGTTTCTTTCCTCCTTTCATTTAAAAATTGTCCAAAAAAAAAAAAAAAAACAAACAAAAAAAACACCTCTCCTAAAGCATTTTGAATTTTGTGGGTATCCTGACACATCCTCTTCCAATTCAACAACTGCTGTTTGAAAGTATTTTTAAATATCTGAGTTTGGGACAGGGAGTAGAGTCTCTGCACGGAGAAGCTACAGAATCCGCTTCTGTCTCTCTCAGAATCATGAAATAATGGATGACCACCAGAACTTTTAGATTGATCAAGGGGACATGCCTCAAGTAAAAGCAGTCAGTTCCTTCCCAAACTCAACTCTAGACTTTTAGAGATGTTATGCCAAAAATAGATCACAAATTATTTTTCAGGAGACTCACCGAGGCTGGAACTGGCTCTTGAAATTCAATGCTCAGCTCATGACAATACAGGTAAAGCAGGAGACGTTCACATTTCTTACAAAGAAATAAACAGCTTCACATTAATATCCTTAATTTATCCTCAGCCCAGAAGTTCATATCTCCCTATTTTAAATAGGTTTGTACTTTAGAAGCTTAGTACTAGAAAATCTAAATGCAATCCCCACAAGCTTAATTATAAAATGTAAAGTTCTTAGGAGGGCATTGTTGAAAAGGTAGAACACCACCTTACTGTTCACACAGCAGAAATACACTCCCTTTTTGCTTTCTTCTTCCTAAACAAATGCCTAGGGCTAAAGTCAAACAAGAAGAGACATGCTAATATACAGTCAAATTAAAAAAAAAAAAAAAAAAAATGAGAGAGACAAACTACAACTGCTTTTGTCCAACCATAAATGGATGTAACAGGAAAGGACCGAGCTGCAGAGTTTTATTCTTTTCTCCACAAGACAAAATTAAACAATTTGAAACCAAAGCCAGAGTGTTTCTATGAATTCCCTGTTGAAATAATTTTCTTTCCTTTGCCTGTAATTCCTTTGGAGAAATTTGATAAAAGTCTAACACTTTATGCACAGGCTGATTGATAAAGCTAAAAATAATTCTGACTGTCAAGGTCATTACACCTTCCACAAGAATGCACCTAAACACTTCTAGCACCTCTCACAGCATGAACTTAACACTCCAAACTTAGGAAGAATTTTTATGAAGGTTGCATCAATGTTAAATGTAAAGAACTTCTGATTCAGAACACTGCAGAGATTAATGTATGTTAAACGAAGCATTTAAATACACAGTATGTGTTTACATGCAAGTTTTAGCTACTAGATTATTACAGTCCCAATGCAATGGAGCACTCCCACATAGTCACCAACACTTGGATATGTGGTCACAGCAAGAAAAATCTCATTATTCATTTTGGGTTTTTTGGGGTTTTTTTGCAAAAGCCACAACTACATTTAATTTGCTGCAGCCACATCAAAAACATCTTCAAGAAACAGTGGGGGATAGCCAATGTGAGAAAGCATTTCTTTCTAGGAAACAGATTCCTACAGATTTGAGACATACCCTCTGGTCCACAGGACTCAGGCCTTGTGCCGTTTTCCCTTTCTTGCTGTGTTGTGAATTGTCACAATCATATTCCACTTCTGGTTTGCTCAGATCTCTGCAGAATGTACATATCCACTCTCCACTAAACAGAAATAAACACAATTATTCCAGATATCCAGGCACAAAGTCTCATCGGTGATGGCTATAAAGATTAATTAGCTCTTACAGATTCACATTGTACTGTAGTAAAGACTTAGATATCCAAGGATAAGGAATAACGCTTATTGCTCAAGATAATTCTGCCAGCAAAGAGCATTTTTCCTGCCCTCATATTCCTCTCCCAAGTATGTTCTAATACTTTACAACACCTCGCTCACCATGACTTTAAAATGGCTCACCATGACTTTAAAATGAACTTTATATAACAGAATCGCACTTTGAGAGGCCGTATGTTAATCAGATAAATACTGACCATTTACACGCAAAACAATTCAGGCAGGCCTCTGAAATGTCAGATTTTTGTACTGACAAGAAATCATCCAGAACTAGCTGATGTTGAGGATGAAGCTAGTTTTGGTACTGTGTTGAAATCTACCATATGAATCAGACGACAGAGCTGTTCTCAGGAACCATTACACTATTTCTGGTACCTTGGAAAGCTGAGGAGTGTTGGTACGTGACAAGTCAGGTGAAACACCTTTGGGCACTTTTCGCAACATAATAGATCCCCTCCATTTTGACATACAGCACACCAGTCTTCATTTGGATCATCATCTTTGTTATTGCCTTCTCCTCCAATTCTAGCTGCTCGGTGCATTAGACTCCGCACTGGGGATTTTCCATTTACAAGGCTATGACCAGACTGTTTGCAACTTTCACTTAAATCTGCTGGTTCAGTTTTTACATGATTTTCAAGACTTCCTAATGCTTCTAATTCACTTTCCAGATGCAAGTTTGTGGATAGCGGTGGTGTCAAGCTGCTCTCAGGACTACTAAGCTGAAATGAAAGTAGGAGATGAAAATCGCAGAGTCAATTTTACAAGGGCATCTTTCTTCATATGTTGGAAGTCGAAAGCCATCCAAAGGTACTATACTCATTTCCCAAAATAAGCGGCAAAACATTATGGAGACCCGAGTTGCATACAGTATTGAAACCTACTTTTTCACAAGTCCATCCTTCAAGAACAGACATTTCTACTGATACATAACATGTCAAACAAGCTTTCAAGTCAAACACACTGATAAATTGTTAAAAATATACCTTCACTGTCATTATGAAAACCCCTCAAATCCATCACACTGCTCCCAGTATACAATCCTATTAAATCAAGCATAGCTGAGAAATACTGAAAAAATATTCACTTGTATAAATATTTCTTTTATGCTCTGGCATAAGAACTTTTGACTGATTGGAAGATTTCTCAATGTAATTACATACGTATGAATGTTCAAGAACTATTAACAATGGGTGACTTACAGCTTTTATTAGTTAGGGATTAAAAGCAGCAAACACACTACACTGTTAGGAGTATTTAATAGCTAAAGATAAAATTTACATGACGGACTATCCTGTGTCTGGCAGAGCACAAAGTCCTCAACATGGACCAAACAGATTAAGTTCTGTTTTCTATCAGACTACTTTCAACACACAACTACCTATCAGAATGGGTATCAAAACTAACAAGGACTGGGCGCGTTATGCATCCACACCACTAGGCTGAGTTGTGTCCAAATCCAGAAGGGAAATGTCCGCCATCATTTAATGTTTATTTGTTCAACATAAACCAGCAAGCTATTGTCCAAGTCCCACTGCCAGCTTATTGGTACCTATGTCACAACCCCTCTGTAATGAGAAGTCTTAGCAGTACTACAAAAACAGACAGCTCAACACTCAAGCTGGCCCACACTTAAAGTTCAGACACACTGCCAGGGAGGAAAATACCTCTCAATCTTCAGGGCTGTTCATAAAATATGAGGCTTAAAATTGCTTTATTATTTCCAAATTCTTAAACATGCTGCTAGGAAAACCATAAACATACTGTTGCACAAACTTGACTTTACCATGCAAGCACTCCTTCTGCCATCCTCTGTTTTTTCTTGTTTTACTGTTCCTGAGAAACTGCATATCTCTTCCTCTGTCCCTGGCTCTTGCTTGACTTTCACTTGGTCAGACTTGAAGTTAATGTTAGTCTTCTCAGCAGTTCTGCCCGAGGAGCCACAGCTAGAAAGATACCAGCACATAAACAAGAGGAAAACTCAGAGCAAAGAAATTTAAGTGACCATTTCCTAGGCAAAGCATTTCAGAACACTGCAAGATAGCTCAAGTTTACCAGACACTAGATAATCACAGAGGGAGGGGGGGCCACGGAATCTTCTTCATGTAAGTATTCTTCCATTACTAGGTCACAGTTATATCAAAGCCCTATTGACCTGCTGCCAACTCATTTTTTAATTCTTCATGTCAGATTTTTCAGCCTGGCAATGTTAATGTAACATACTCACCTTCCTCTGCTGCCTGTGCTGGAGGTACTAGGTGGCCTCACAGGAGTGTGAGAGTTGGGTAAACCTGCAAAGAAGCAGCACAGAAGTTGACTTGGTACAAATTTACATTTTGCAGTAAAATGACTAGTTTTGAGTAACACCAGAAGTACTGCTAGAGTAACCTAAACTAATAATTTACATAAGTCAGCTGCCCTCTCAGTCATTTTGTCAGAACAAAGGTCTAGCACACAATATTAAATAAAAAACACAGACAACAGCTACAGTCCCAGTAATTATTTCACCTAATCTAAACTGTGCTATAGCACTCAGCCCGTTAAGTCCTCAAATTTTATCCACTGACATCGACCAATAAAATAAAGCAGTCTCTGTGTGTTTTGCATGCAGGTTTCGAGAAACGTACTAAGTTCCACTGTTGCAACCATTCATTCACAGAATCTTACAATTAATTATAATTATTTTCAAATTTAAATACCAGAAACACCCATCACTTTCTAGAATCACTAGAAATATCCATCACATTTACCTGATGACCCTGGAGATAGGGCTGAAGGTCCTGGGGAGGGATTCATGGTACTTGTAGGTTGTGGGGGTAGGTGGCTGCCTGTAATGTATCTACTTAGAAGTGTGTCTAAATTACTTGAACCAGCATCTTCAAGCTAAGAAGCAAAAACAAAAAGTTTGAATCACAGAGGCCTAATTAGAGTTTCTTAATAGTTCCACATTTTTGAACTGTGATCAGTATCTTTACCAGAATTGTTCACTATCCCTTCAAGGATTCAGGACATCAGCAAACATTTTTATCAGTTTCATACAGATATCAATCTTTTAAAACAAAAAGCCAGTCAGAAACTTCAAGTAAGATTTTTCAAAAGTTCCTAAATGAGTCCTTATGGTGTTGTCATATGCTGCACTTACTCTAGGTCATTCCGAACTTTTTGGTTCCCAGATGTTCAGTGCGTTATAGAATCTACCAGTTTACTAATATTGCAAGAGTTGTTCCACAATTAAGATGTTAAGGGAAACCATGAACTTGTTTTTCCTTAGCATGATGTGAAATCTCCCTCTCTTCCATTCACTTTCTACACAGATTTTAGTATCTATTAAAAACAAGCAGTTAAAGTACTAGGATACCTGTTTCCTTAAAGCTATTAACTGCAAGACAGCATAACTGCAAATAATGTGTTTGAAACGCACTGAATTCAAAGCAGGTTTTTATGACTGTGCAAGCAACTTCAAAGACTAACAGCTTCCTATCCAACTCCTTCATCAGCTAAAATCCATGACAGCTATTACATGAACAGGTATAAAACAGAGCATCTTAACAGAACTCTGCATTTTCGGTGCACCTAGAAGTTGCATGTTTATGTTTTAGACTATCCCACTAATAACTATTTCTAACTTGGTGTATCACGAACTTTAGACACACAGCTGAAATCAGTCATAAACAGTTGTACTTGTGTTTTGTTCTAATGACTAACAACGCTTCAGCACTGCAGATCAATCACATTCAGAGATGCAATCCTTTTTTCCCCCCCACTGTTCTTACGTTAGCAAATTACCTACAGCCACATGAGAAACCTGAACATACAACCCTTGAACATGACTCTCTGTAGACTAAGAGTCAAGAGGTTGCTACTGGTATTACAGCAGACCATCCGCTTGGATGATATACAGGGTCTGTTTCTAAGGGAATTGTTTCCTGTATCATGACCGAATCTCACGTACTTTATATGGGTGTTTCAATGTAAGCATCCTGTTCTCACGACAAAGCCATCATCCTCCCCTCCCTGGCCTCTCAAACACTCCTGCAGAAAACACATTACTTTTACTTTCTCTGCCTCCACTCGTACATTATACTGCTGACCTCTCCAAATGAGCGTGACTTCATCAAACTCTACCTCAGCTTGTGTGCAGTACCAACCACTGCCTCTCTGGGCAATGAATACAGGGCACACTCTTCAGTTCCAAGTGAGCGAGTACCAATAGCGTGCAGATGAAGCGAAACGTACAGAAGCAGCAACAGTCACATTCTGTGCAAGCAACACCACTACAGCTCAAGATTAAGCACGAAGGCCAGCTTAAGTGTTCTGCAGCTTCTTCCAGGATTCAACGCTAATGTAAATGCTGGCCTCTTGCATACAAGGAAATTCTTACAGCCACACTACTGGGGTACAGAGGAAATGTAAGGAGAGAAAAGTAGGACAGTGGGACACCATTTCTCTGTACTTCCTGCATTTGATTGTTACATTTACAAACATCACAGAGAAGTGCCAGGCAACTTTAATTCTGAATAAATCATCATTTGGGGCATTCGACATACAAAGCTATTCAACTATTCTAGTGGTATCTTCCCATATGACAGTCTTCTGGAAGAAAGGAAGTGAGCACAGTACTTGGGATTAACTAATCCAAGTATCAATTTTACTATAGTACTGCCATTAAATACTGATTAATCTAAAAGTTAACACAGGTGGAGCAGGTTAGTCCTACATAGTGAAAATAACTGCATGTCCAAGTCAAGATTTTAATTCTTTGACTTTAAACGATAACTAACTATACCATTCCACGGACAAGCACCAGTGTCCAAATAAAAAAGATGCAGAAAGAAAAGCAGATCCTTACTTCACCCGCAGTGTAAGTGCCTGATCTTCTCCACTGACCTGGATGGGTGGGATATCTGGCAGGGAAGGTAAATTCTCTGGGTTTGTTACGGAAGGAATGAGTTCGATTGCTGTAACGGACGGACTTGTCGGACCACGGTTTGCACTTGCCATTGTTGCTGTAGTAGGACTAGTTGGATTAATAGTGGTGTTGTGCACAGAAACAACTGGAAAAGGCCCTGCGTGCCCAGGGTTAGAATGCTGCAGGAAAAGAGAAGAGACCACGACTGCATTACAGACCAATCAGAGAGTTACTGCATGTAAAATTGTAATCTGCATTATGATAGTCCTCAACAAAAAATGGGGGGGTGAGAACATATAAACTCACATTCCTATCAACATAACCTGACAGCACTGAATGCAAGGTAACTGCTATTTTTATTTACTCAGAAAGAAAAAACATTTTATGTGGCTAGATATTTAAATATATAGCGCATCTTCCACCAAATAATTTTCATGTATAGTTACACTTTACTAAATCAATTACTTCCTCCAAAGACAACTTCAGAGTCCATATATCTGTTTACAAACTTTTTTTTAAAAAAAGAATAGAGTAACTGTTTCAAGTATTATAAACTCATTTTTAGTTTTCCAGTCATATTAACATTCATTGCCAAGAATTTTTATTCTTAATGGTATGCAGACCTCTGCATCATGCTTCAGGTTTAAAAACACTTTAGAAATTGGTTTCATTAAAAACCCTCAATTACATCACTTTGAACTTCACTGCTCCTGACTACTCTCCAAGAAACCCAAAAGCTGAACGTCACTGCAAAGTTAAAAAGTGTATGTTATGTTTCTCAGAACTAAAATGCAATACAAACACTAGAATTCATTTTCATTCTTAAGGTTTGAATTTTCTTATGTTCAGCAAAAATGTCACAGTACAGTATGCAGCACGAAAAAAGCATATAAATGTGTGTAGCTGTGAGTTATAAGTGTTACAGATAAACACATTTACAGCTGGAGGTATCATCTATTGTAATGAAAGTTTGGCACAATGGCACAAATGAAGCGTGTACACAGGATATACTTGTCTTTGAAGGTGAGGTTGCATCATGGAGTATTGTGGTCCATTGTGGCGTGGTATTCCTGGTATACGAGCAGCATTCTGAGCCATTCTCATCTGATGTGCTTGGAAAGCCCCACAGTTCATGTTACCCCTCTGCATGGTCTGCATGCTGATCAACCTGGGAGGCTGCAAGGGTTTTTGTTTTTTAAAATTTTTGCTTTTAACATGGAAAAAAGAAGCCAATCTCTTTCCACAGTAGTAGGTTTACTATTTACATAACATCAAGAAAAGCCAATAGTTGTCACATTTAAAGTATGTCAAATTTCATGAGATTCTTCCCATTTATAAACTGCTTTGTAAGTTTATATTCAATAGGGCAATTTTAAGTCTCAGTGTTCTGGTAAAAGGTGAAATAAGAACATACAAGATACTTACCTGCTGCTGTAAGATTTGTGGACTTGTCTGCCTGGGAACTGACCCAGCTGGCTGCCCCATCCTCATCTGCTGCAGTTGCTGATGCTTTTGTGCATACACTTGTTGCTGCATATGCTGAAGTCGAAGCTGCGCTAGATTGATTTGTCCTGGAGCTTTGTTAACATGGTTTGTTCCTGGAGGAGCCTGTCCAACCACTACGTTAGGAGTGTAACTAGGAGTTGGTTTATTTTCAATGACAAGGTTACCTAAATAAAACAAAACAAAAGAACTAGTCAACAGTCAAACCTCCATCATCATCCAAAGGTTGATTAATGCAGAATACTCAGATGTTTCTAATTCAGTTTCCTCAGGAGCAGTAACAAAGCAATTCAAGTTTGAAATTTTCATTTTAAGTCTCCATAACCATACAGGAAAGAAGCAAAAATAAAACCTATACCACAAGAAGAAGAAATTGCTAAACTAAAAACATGACCTGTGAGCAAAAAGTGAAAGAACTAAAACTGCACAGCCTAAAAGACAAGACAGACATGATAGTTCTGTGCTCACAACAAACAGAGAAGCTGAGAAATAAAATAGGAAAAACACATCTTGAGCATAAAGTTTCTATACCTAAGGAAGTAAACCCAGGGAAAAGATATTTGGGAGACAGTGGACAGTGTCCCATCACTGAATGCCTAAGAATAAGTTATACAAGCATGACAAAAACACTACTGCAAGCAAGTCCTGCCTTGATAAAATGTGATGGACCACATTGCCTCTCTAGCTATCTATAGTCCTATTTTTAAAAGGAAAAGGCAAAATGTTGATTTTTGACTTTGAACATGTACTCATTGGAAGCTGCATGTCAGTTTTTACTGAGGTTGACAGTTTCTGTTCTGTTTCCTATATAGCTTCCCCCGCCTGCCCCAGATTCCTAGTCAAACAACATGAGAAGCTGTGTCTTGGAAAGCCTTGCTTTTTCCTTCTTGACTAATCTCCAAGAGTAACAGTGCTGAAAAATTGCTTGAGGAACTGCCCATGAAGGAACAGTGTAAATTTTAAACCATTACTCACACAGGAAAAAGTTTGTTTACTGTGCACATAAACCTCCTTGACTAAAGACAGGAACACCAAAACCTGGTTAGTGGACTTTTAGGCTAGAAGCAAGTACACACAAAAAGCATCAGGAAGAGCTGAGATTTTAATCATATTTTCTATTAGCTTTTTATCCAACAGAAAAGTTCACAAGCAGGTGCTGACAGATACCTCTGCCTGTGCTCTCCCCACTCTAGCTCACCTCTCCTCTCATTCAAAACCCATTCTTTGAAAAGTATCTATGATTAGGGGATTAACATGGAAGAAAAACTGTGACACTACACTGCTGCAGGATAAAGCAATTATAAAGACGCTACAAGATTAAACACCTTACATCCTTTAAAGAGCACAAGTTATCACTGCATCTGACAACAGCCAGCAATGTGCAGTAATTGTAACTGCAAACGTCCAGTGATCCCAGCTGTCACTAAACACTCTTGCAGAACATGAGCACTCCAAGCTCCTATCTCACCAAGACTACTGCAAACTCCCATGGCAGCTAATGCTTTCAGGCAAAGAAGAAATAAGTAGTTTTTCTCAGTGCAACTGTTTAAGATATGACAGGTTACAGCTATGGCGCCATAACCTACCGCGTGGCAGCTGCAGGGAACACACACAGGAACAGCAGTGTATCTCCCATTACGAGGGTCTGTTGTTCTTTATAAATCTGTCAAACATCTTGGAATATAAAAGTAGTTACACATTGCTTCTTAATGCACTTACCTTTCCAGCAATCATATGGACTAGCTTGGTACTTAGCTCATATCAACAGTTCTCCTAATTATGCTTGTTAATGCAACTTCCAACACATTAAGACGTCTAGTATTACTCCATATGCAACTAAATATGGAGTTCAGACAGGCAAAACTGATTCTATTTACTTGCCAAATAAGCTGTTCCAGAAACTGAAACACCCATTTAGCGCTACTGTGTTGTACTATAAGCATCAGAACCACTTTAAGAGAGGGGGGAAAAAAGGGACATTCCTAGAACCATTCCCACTGGAAACCAAAACCTGCGGAGAAACCTTCGCTAATAGAAGAACAGAGCAGATAAGGGGGGTAATCAGGACTGGATGGGTTACATCAAGAGAGTTTCATCTCCTGCATTAAGAGTCACTCATTCACGTTGGACGAATGCCTCCAAATCAATCTAGTTTTTCAAGTAACATAGAATAAACAAACACAATTCTCACCTAAATTGACGACATTCTTTGCCCAGAATGTAGGGTCACAATGGAAGCGTATTGCTCCATTGGCAGCTGGGACAGGATCACAACGTGCCTTTAAAATATGACGTAACTGGAATGTTATCTAATGGAAAGCAAAAACAAGACTGTTGATGACAACAAACTAAAGAATGAGAATATTAAGAAGTGCGCATTTACCCAGCAAGTTTAGACTGCTGGATCACCAACAAGGACCATCAATGGCAAGTTTGGTTATCAGCCTGGAAAATACTCAATTCACCAGGGAAATCATCCACTGTACAACTAATTTTTTACTCAACTCAGAGGATTACAGAGCAGCACTGTTACACAATTACTACTTCTGCAATGACTAAAGTGAAACACCGAGGCGCCCTTACAGAGCTTAACCTCATTTCTTCTACGATAATGCTGTTAAGTCCTTAATTTGCAAATGAAAAGTGGTGTAGAAGTTGGGAAATTTACCCCATTATTACAGAATCATTTATCTCATTACTCATTTTTTTTAAATGAAGTATCAACAACTCATTGTCTCTTCCTTGGATATAACTTAGTGAAGCTGCATGATAACTCAGAAAATTCTTTTGACTAAACATTCTCTGTACTGTGCAGGCAAGTCAGAGAATGCTTCCTTACCAGTCGTTTACTGTATAGCAAAGCAGTACTGCTGCCACTTGCAATAGCCCAATTAGTAAAGTTCATCACGTGCTTCACTTGTCGCGAAAGACCAGTGATGTCATTTTGTTGTTGTATTAACTTCATCTGTCTCTCCTTTGTTACATTCTACAAAGAAATAAAAACCTTATTACAGTGGGGGCTTCAGATTTATGAGGAAAATGTAAAACTGCAATCACAGTTCTTAGAGCAAATGAAAAATGTCACAAGCAAAGTAGCTTATACTAATGCTCATATTCAGAGTGGCTAGAACCATCAAATAATAATTCTCTATTATTCCCCTCTACCATTCTTCCCAGAGGTACCAAATTGCAGGGAAAATAGTGGGCTCAGAGAAGAGCCTCTACTTTATCCCAGGAAAATATCAGCTACTGAAACAAGACCAATTCTCTTCTTCATGTTGCTGGACGCACAGCTGCAGGACAAAGAACTGGGGGAGCGACCCAGACTGGGGCCCAAGGGAACGGGTGCCCTTGCCACCATGGAGCTGCAGAGCAGCAACTGGAAGAGACAGCAACAGCAGTGGCCCAGGCACTCTGAACACCAGCTCCTATGCCAACCAGAAACTGCCGCTAAACACCTCTGGAGTACGTCAGGTAAACTCAGTAGCCCCATCTCCAAGTAGTCTCCAGCCTTTGATAACTTGCCAGCTGTAAATCTCGTGCTAAAAATCTGGGTTGCAGTACTGAATCTTCAGGTTTCAAATTTAACAATACACGCTTGAGCAACTGTTACAACCTCACAAAAAAGGAAAGTTTCCAAAGGAATTATTCTAGCTTGTAACAAATGGCTAGGTAAAAAAGAAAAGCCAAAACTCAGTTACTCAAGTAATTTTAAACTCTTTATTTCACTCCTGATCAAATACTCTTTTCTTCCAGGAATTCTCCATTTCACTGCCAAATAAATGCTTCTTAATCAGAAGAAATATATCGTAATTAAATTGATCTTAAATTTTTCAGTCACATCATGGCAGAGTGGCAACGTGCTATGAACTAACTTCTTACAATAGGTTTTCTCTCTTCAGATAAAAAAGTAGTCATAAGCTACATTTTCATAGATTTGAATAAAAGTCGGTATATAATAATTACTCAGAATATGCTAACTGAAAAGTGTGTTTAAAGCCACTGCCTCCCTTAGGATGCCAATCTACATAACTTAAAATACCAGCATTACATCTTCATGTACAAATACGTAAGACTACCATGCCTTTGAAAACTTAGGTGTACTTCAAAGGTCAGGATTTGTTAAAAGTCAACACCAGTTGTGAACATTACTAAGGAAAAAAATACTAAGAACTGCCATTAGGACCACCACTGTCTTCACAGCAAAGCAGTTAATATGATGCCAGAAGTGAAAATTAATACTAGCCTGTCTGCTTCCCTGCTCCTTTGCCCTGCTCATACCACCCTGCACAAGCAAAAGGTGGGAAACAGATTTTAACAACAACCTACCACAACCCACAGAGAAAAAATCTACGTAAAGTGGCATCAAACACATTGCATCAATTTGTTACGTGCTCAAGAAAAAGTAGAGACACCTGTCTCTAGGAGATTACACTCTGAAGAAAAACTTGTAAACAAGGTATCAGAAGACAAAAAGCAGCAACTCATCCACAGTGCTAATAGATTTGCAGGAACCTTAAAAAGCTGTTTGAGGAAAAGACTAGATTATAGGCACCTTAGAATTATGTAATAATACAGAAATATGGCAAACAGAACGTGGAAAGGAGATTTTTAGACACCCCTTTATGATGAACCTGATTTTGAATGAATCTGAGGCATAAATGTAAAACTAAAGGAGCCACAGGCTCTAGCTAGTGAGAGGATGAACAAGAGATTTAACTAAAACAAGCTATTCATAGGCAATATTAATACTGCAACTCCTGCAGTCACACCAAACAAACTGTTTTCAAACACAGAATGTGAATTCTCAACAGGGGACTGGAAACACTAAACACCACTAATAATTTTTCTCTTAACTGTACCTCAAGGTGCTGTAAGAGAGATTTTCCCTTTTTATTGATTTCATTGATGAGGGTGAATATAGCCACTTTGATTTCCTGTTCTACTCGTTTGTTAGTTTCATTTACTTCTTTTATCCTAAAAAAAGAAAAATGTATTGTCAGGCAGTCACTTTATACTATGCCGCCAAATACTAAACATACCACAGATATCTTCCCACCCTTGAAGAGTGAAGGAGCAATTTCTGTATTGAAGAAGTTCCGATAAGTACAAAATTTATAGTTTGTGTGATTTCTAACAGAGAAATCATTAATCAAATTTTTCAAAGTAGCCATCAAAATTTCAGTTTTGGAAAAAAAATTTAAGCAGCCTGCGATCAAGACAGTACCTCAATTAACAACTTGCATTTTACTTAATATGAGACAGTCCTTGGGTTTATACACTTTATTTATATGCTTACACACAGACATACCCAGCCAAGACCACATGTGTGTTTATGTACACATATATATTTATCTCCCTATCACCTCTCTTTCACTATGAAGAATATATTTATGACACCTTAAACTTTCATGCTATTGTGTATTAACCAGAAAGTCAACTCTGAATGTCAGATAGACTTCTTCAACTCCCCCAAAAACTATTGTACCAAAAAGGTTATTACACACCTGTAATCAATAGTGATATAAACATTTCACTAATGATTTACCTGACATTAGTCTACATTATTCTGTTGCACTTTAATACAATTGCCTTTCAATTTTGTTTATACCTCACACCTCCTCATCCTTTCCATCATTGTTATTCTTCCTCAGTTTTAGTGTCTTCACTATTCTCAACTTCTTCAGACTCAAGTAAAACATCTTGAGTTCTGTCCACAGAATTTCAAATACACTATTTCTTAAACTCCATTGCAAAATCTGGATTTATTTCATCCTATGCTGCCTTAATCTAATGACAATATAGCATTGCAGAAGGATTCATTACTTCGCTTGGAGTCAGAGCACAATACTTTGCCATGAGCCAGTTTGAGCACAAAGACTTAAACTGTCCTTTTTTAAAGGGCTTCCTCACTACCAGATCAAGCATCTGAACTTGTGATGTCATTCATCCCAATATGATCACAAGACCAATAACCACTTGTCTGACGATCATATTCATTGTTGGTGTCAAATGCCCTTTAAGGCACCTTGGATACATGCTTTTTCGTGACAACACAATCTGATTTTCCACTCCAAAACATATTCAGCCAACCCTTCATTAAGTCAGTAGGCATCCATCCTTGCCTTTGGCACCTCACAATTATTCCAGTAGGCAGCTATTCCTTCAACACTGTTTTACGTTTCACGATCACATACAATGGCAATTTCACACCACCTGCTAACACTGACAACATTATTGTAATACACTTTTTTTTCATTCCCTGAAGTTTTTATGATCATAGATTTTGTGCCCTACACTTCAACAAAGTAACTGAATAGCATGCCAAAGTAAACCAGTGTCTCGCACCACCCATTTAGCTCAACAGATAGTCACAATCTTTACACAAGCTAATCACATGCTGCCGAAATTCACTGAATTTTCAGTGAAGCCAGAAATTCTTTGGCAAAAAAACATGACAATGTGTTACGCATATACCCACCACCCATTAGTGGCCTTCAATTCTCATCACAGAACTTTTTGTGACATTTCTTGAGCTTTCAGTTTAATTATTTCCCATGTAACCAGGTTTCTGTCTCTTCTTCAAGCATGTAACAATTCTACAGCTTGTCCTCCTGCTTCCCCATGGTGTTCTCTTTTGGGTCCCTTCAAAGAGTTCCATGCTGAATCAGCACATCAAAAATTCCATTTCTATTTCTTCCATCATCTTCACACATTTTCCTCTGTCATGTTGTATGTTCTCCTTCCCTTAAAACTTTTTTTTTGGTGGTGGTTTTTTGTGGGGTTTTTTTTTTGTGTGTGTGTTTTTTTTGGTTTTTTTTGTTTTGTTTTGTTTTTAAATGTACATGGTACCACTAGGAGTTAAGAATTTGCACCAGAACTTCTCCTTACATCTTTGGAACAGTTCCTTCCACCTTTGTACTTCCCATCTCCAGATGCTCTGTCATTTCGCAAATGACTTAAAAGTTGCAGAAGGCTCACAAAACCACCAAGAATCATAGTGGAATTCCCTGACCTCCAGCACACCACATCACCACATGTAGGTGAAAAGCCAGAAGCAATCATGTGCTCTCTCTGTCTCTGCATTCAATATTCTCTATGACACTGAATTTAAGCAAACCCTGTGCCCTGGTTTCGGCTGGGATAGAATTAATTTTCCTCCCGGTAGCTGCTGTATTTTGGATTTAGTGTAAGAGGAATATTGACAATAGACTGATGTTTTTAGTTGTTGCTAAGAAATCAAGGACTTTTTTTCAGTTTCCCATAGTCAGCTAATGTGCAGGTGTGTAAGAGCTGGGAGGGAGCATGGCCAAACAGCTAGCCCAAGCTGGCAAGCTGAAATGATCCATACCATAGATGTCATGCTCAGTTTATTAGTGTAGGTTGGCCGGGGGGCAGGAACTCTCTTTTTTCCATGAGTTGGAACTTTTGTCCATGAGTTCAGTGAGCTCTGTGAAATCCACGAGCTCCGCAATTGCTGCCTGGGGACTGACTGTGGAATCAGTCATCAGGTGGTAAGAAAAACTGCATTGTGTATAGCTTGCTTTGCATGTTGCCAACTGCCAGGTTAAACCATGACACCCTGGAATTCTTAACTTAAAACTACCTAAGGAAAAGCCTGTCTTCCTTTCAGGTAATTACACTAAGTTTTGCTTGCCTAATTAAAAAAAAAAAAAAACACAAAACAAAACCCTCAAAAAACCCACACAATCTCCTATTCAGTTTCAAAACAAGTTTTTGTTACACGTTATAGAAGACGCATTCAAATGAAACATAAAAATATTTCAAGAAAAATTTGTTTGTCTCTACAGCCAACACTTCTGTCACCTAGAACTGAACTTAGCAGAAACCATAAGATGGGTTTGCCTTTCCTTTTTTATTCCCTTTTTTATTCCTTTCTATTTATTTTCCCCTTCCCCCTCCCCCAAGTGCAACAGATGTGTCACATCTTTGGCTCTACTCAAAGTTGCCATAAAAGACATCATCTTTGACACTCACTTCTTGTAACAACGTCCAACAGATGCACAGTATTGTAGGGAAGAAAACATTATGAAAAGTAATTAAGTCCAATACAGCCAAAGATATAGAAACAAATAAAACGTAAGTATTACTCGAGTCCCATCATTGCCTCTTTAATGAATCACAGTAAGATGAATGTAATAGTAACAGTTAATAATTTTGGGTTGCTTACCTATTCTGAACTTGGGCAGCTGCAAAATTTACATAATTCTTCTTCTCAAGAAGTTTGGCCAACAGGTTCTCAATTGCACCCTTCTGGTTCTGAAAAGCTTCTTCCAAAAACTGATACCTTTTCAACACACAAAAGAAGATATCAGTTACTAAGGAACAATGCACTGAAACTAAGGGTTCCCAATTTAGATGTAACGTTATAAAATTTTGACAAAACACGCAGAAAAAATCAAACTGTATTTATGCCGATCAGTGTGCACAATGTTTCAGTACTGATAAAATCATTTGTAAGTATCCAGAAGACTGAACCTCTGTGGGTCACTTCTTAATTAAAACTACACAGGGAGACAACGCACTGCATTGTTTCACAAGATACCAAGCTATGGAGGACCAGCTAAAGGAAATACCAGAAACTTCAAACTTTGACAAATCATTTTGTTAATGTTAGATGACGAAAATGCCCTAATAGCTTAAACACATTTTACATGATAAGAAAAAAAAACCTACCCCAGAAAAACAGTTTTTCAGTTGAGATTATACTGCTTATATTTGACTAAATTAGTTTACTCTGAAAGAACATATTCCTATTAAAAAAACAACTTTTTTTTTGGTCCTTCCAAGCGAAGAACATATCATTCCCTTTCAAGCCCATCAACCAGCTACTATATCAAATGCACCTTCCATTACTTCATCTGAAAATAGTGCAAGTAGCTACAAACAAAAATAATGACATTAGTTGCATTTTCCTAATGTACTATGCATCACAGGAATTAACAATGCAACAGAAGCAAAACACCTATATTGAAAATGGCACGGGGAATTAAGTAGCTCAAAGAGTTTTAATATTTTCTGATTAACTGCTGGACTATCAAAAGATTCCCCCCAAAACCCAGGACTCCCATCTTGCCACTTCTTGTCTCTGCAGTAAGTAAACTTCATCTTTCTGAAACATGATTTGTTAACACAGAAAACTTAGGTTCCCAGCATGTCTTCCCTTCTTCACTACACTAAACCCCAACATTCAAACTGGCAGAAGACTCCAGTTGAAGTGAAGCCTCTTACCAGCTGCATTAGAAGCAACCTATGCTATCTCCTGACCAGAACTGAAAAGAAAGTAGCGTTGTCTTTTGTTAAAATCTAGGAGAACATTACAATCTAGTAAATCTAGTAGGAAAAGACTGTTTGGACACATGATCGAATTTACAATAACACTGTTTCTTGAATCGAATTACTCACAATTACGATAACAGAGACTTAAGCAAAGAGAACACTATTCACAACAGAAACAACTCTGCTCCTGTTCATTCATTTTGTACCAGCAATAGACAAGTTTCAACTACAAGAGTTTAGATTTGTCAGTCTCAATGTCAGAATGTCGCTTTTTCCAAGAACAGTCTAAAGTTCTCGTAGACAGACAGCATCACAAGATTTTAGGTACTATAATGCAAAAAGTAGCATTACTACAGCCCAAAGGCCACAAAAATTGAAATGTTTGGAGATCTGCTGATTTTCTAAAACTCTAAAAATTTTCATTAAGTTGAAAGTCAGATTTCCACTTTAAGGAGGAAAAAAAAAATAAATCTACACTTACCTAGTACTGCTAAAATTTTTCTGTAGTTCCTGCTACAGCCAAAAGACTTAATATATATATATATATATAAAGTATTGTAGTTCTAGCTTCCAAAGCATGCGGACTGAAAACTGCCTAAACTAGAGGAATCATACACCATTAGGCTGCTAAAAGAATGTCAGCTTTCTACAGAATCACCAGCAATTCTTTCCCTTGAAATTCTGAACACTGGACTATGTTGCTACTGAAACAGCGATTTATTCTCCTTTGACGCAAACTATTAGGATTTCAGGTAAGAAGTGGAGATTAAAATCAATTCTTGTTTCCACTTGGCATGATTTTTCCTTCAACGATTTAGTGAGCTTCACAGAAATCTCAGTTATACTTCACCACAGACGAAGCAGCTGCCCTAATCATCTGTAATTCTCATCTGCAGGCAAAACAAGTTTTAAAGAATATTCTGCAACAAAGCATGTTAATAGCAAAGTATTCTCTTCTCTTACTGGAAGAGAGCAGGTAGAGTAGAACAAGATACATCTGTTAATCAGTCAGCACCACGTGCAAAACAGATGCAAAGAAACCAACTAGAAAAAGTTAACATACCCTAGGAGACCACGCTTTCTGAATGAAAGTGTGTCTTTCGGGACATTTATGACCAAGCCTATGAAAGAACAGAGCAGGAATACTCAAGGCTGTTAATACTTTAACAGTACTCATTTCAAAAGTAAAAGTTCTCCATTAGGCTGCTGTGGCAGTCTATGAGAGCACCCACCACTCTGGAAAAAAAAAAAAAACACCACTAAATTCAATATTGCAATGCACTGTCAAGCACCTTTACAGAGAAGAGTTACTTGTAGACCAACCAGGAAAGGCAGTGCTGCAGTAGCTGATAAATACGTATTTATCCCCAGATCCGCTATCATAACACTGCACAATACTTTTTCAAACATTCAAACAACTATATGACACAGCTGTTAAAGAGCAGGAATTTTTAATATATCTTAAGAGGTTTCAACCTTTTTCTAGCAGTTAAGAGAAAAGCAAGCTCCGGAGACAAAACCCATCATTTCACTTGGAATGAGGCCACTTTCAGCCAACTAAATCCAAACAATTTTTCCCTCTGTACTAGAAAAACATATTAATCTGATGCAAAATGTATACCTTCCTTTACAAAATTACCCTAAATTGAAAGACTGTTCTGTAATAAAACTTGCCCTTTCAAAAAACTACCTCGTCCACGACTCACTCGCTATATCACTGTCGCTTCTCTACAGCGCCAGGTGTTCAGGGCTGTCGCAATTTCTATTCAAGTCCTGAGCAGAGTGACAGCGCTGGTAAACGCCAGGCAAGTTAACACCTTAATCGCACCAAATCGCCTCAGACCATGCTGTTTTGAATCTGCTCTTAAGATAATTGACAAAGCTCAACCAACTGATCCCTTAAAAGTTTTCAGCACTCCACACAAGTTCTCCTTCACAAGGGATCATTTTAGTTTGACAAAGAGTAAATACAACAGTATTTGATGCCACAACTGTTTTAAATCAATGCCATTTCATCCTCTGAGAAAGCACACCACAGGAATCAAGACATGGTAATATTTGTACCTGTGTTCTTTGTGTTCCAGTAACTGACAGTCTCTGCATGTCAGCCTGTCACATGTTTCACAGAAAAGTTTTAACTGCTCTTGTTTGTGGACAGGACAGAAAACAGGACGTTGACCAGATGCTCCCACGGCCTCTGTTTTTAAAAATAAACCATTTTTGCATTTTAAAATAAAACTTAGACAATCTGAAGAGCAAAACAACTAACTTCCAAGCCAAGTAACAACCAAGAATTTGAACAAAGACAATTACAGACCCCTTCTCACCCTAAAGTTACTGTGAATACATTCTCACTGAAATATTTACAGTGCCAGCGGTGTATGGCTGTTTCCACTTTATTGTACTCAAAGATAAGGAGGAATTCCTCTCCTATCATAAATGCTCAGAAGACACTGGCACCTGTAAGAATGTAAAAACTGTACACAAACACCAGGATCAAATACACATGTTTAAAGATTAAATCACATGCAATTTCGCCTTTGACACGTTGAAGGAAGGATCAAACCTCACAAACTTCTATACTGTCAAACACTCATAGGCTTTCTAAATTATCACTTCAAAACCTTTATAAACCTCACTAAGTCATCTGCAACCTAAGTGGCAAATGCAAAGCAAACATTGCCCATGTTAAGAGTTACTTAAACGTCAGCTAAACTACTTAACTTTTCAACTTAGGCAAATTACAGATAACAAAAAAATTGTTCTGAGTTTACTAAAAAGTGCTGCACAGTCTTCTAAAGATATTTTGAAGTTAATACAGAGGAAGGCAGCCTTTGAAAGATACAGTAGGTAAGGTTTAAAACATGACTTTCCTCCTCAGTCTCCAACATTTCCAAAGCTTGTTATATCATGCCAGTTACTATAAAGAAAGAGAGCTCATGCATCTACAGCTGACACTTGTTAATAGAAATTTAAAGTCTCCAGAGCATATCTTCGAGTTTAAAAAGAAAGAAAGGGACAAGCTCCCTTGAGGAAATAATTAATAGTCATTGCCCACAATCAAGAGGTACTAAGGATTGCTGCATGCCAGGTCAAAGGCAGGCTACATTCTTGTCATATGCTAGCACACCAACTACACATGGGCTTCCATCTTCATAAACACTAACTCAAATTTCTGATAGCAAATTTACTTTATTGGAACAGCTGTTTTTCGGCACATCCCCAATCAGGTTATTGAAGGGTAAGCAGAGCTACAGTAACACCTTGACAGTCACAATATAGCACTCCTAGAGAAAAACGTTAGTAATTCTTTGTAGGGCCCTGTAATTTGATTTCACCTTAAGGGTTATTCATCTACTAGGATTACTACATCTAAATTTAAATAGGTAATATCTCTTATTAACCAATATCCATTAAGACATACAGAGAAACCTCTCAAAAAACAAAGTTTATGTGATACAGCCAGTGAAATAAGATCGTTGTCTGAAAGAAGTACGCTGAATAGCAAACTTTTTAACTCAATATTATTTTGACAAGACTCGGCAGAAAGCAAAGCAGTGTTACTCCTTTAAAATGGCAGAATGAAACAGTCTTGAAGATCTTAATTTACTTTAAATGCAGAGAGAGAGCAAAAAGCCAAGATTACTCTTCCTCAGTATGAGCAGTCTTCGTATACATCCAGATATTGTAGAACCTACAGGTCTTTAAATCAGAACTTTCATCCCATTTACAAATAGAATCTTCTAAGCTAAAACCCAGTTACCTTTTATCTGTTTTGAGAATGTATACCACATTCCCTCAGTAGGTTACAAACAATACATAGTCAAACGATACTTTAAGAATTAACTTCTAATAAAGCTGCATGTCTAGGCAAACTGTACACACACTTCGCACATTAAATTTAATTTCCTTGGCCAACGGATAAGACATAACTAATATGTCAGCGCTTTCCAGATTCTCCTCTCCACTTAGTCAGTTGTTCTACTAAATAAAAGTATTATTAAGAATGGATCTAAATCCTTTCCAAAGACTGTAGTCTCATTCTGTTTCTTCTGTACATAAGATATTTTTCACACTGGACATCGAACTATAAAAAGCATTAGCAAATAACCCATATTAGCTTAAAATTTAGTTTTTCCTCTATTTTTAGAGCTACCAGTGCAAAACTGGTAGCTTTTTACTAAACTTTTCCCAAATCTTTGGGAAAAGCCATACAGCTGGTTGTTACCTAAATAATCCTCCCTCTCTCTTTTTACACGTGCCAAAGAGAAAACATTTTTACTACAGGCAGGACTAAGTGATAGCCAAACACTCACCTGAAGATACATCCTCTTTTTTTCTGATCATATGATCTTTAGTAAATTTTACTCGCTGATGAGCTTCTATGCAAGTCTTGCACAGCCATTCCCCACACTCTACACAAAATCCAACAGCGCTAGCGTTATCTTCACAGCTTGTACACACCTGCAAAGGGAAGCAGTCAATTACCGTCATCTTCCTGGAAAGCATTAACATGTACAGAATCAAAACCAGCATGTGAATTCCAGCAAGCAGGAGAGTGCCACACCTGTTCGGACTTCTCATCGGAGCTGCTCGGCGTTTCTGACGTGTCTTTCACAAAGTAGTTATCCACCAGATCTATCTGTCTGCATTCTTGGCGGCATACTGGACATCTGATTACACCAACTGCAACAGAAAGAGTTTCCCAGTTTTAAGAAAAAAGAATGTGAAAACCAACATGCTCAGAATTAAAAGATGACAAGAATGAACACAAAATCCTCAGGCTGCTCATTTCACTTGATAAATGAACAGATTCCACAGTTGACATTAGCCTTAAAAAACAGCCGTTACCCATGTATAACAGGTTTCCCAAAAAAACTCACCCCAACAACAAAACACAAACAAAAAAACCCACAAACCACACAAACACCCCTCTTCAGAAAAAGATCCCTTACCTAGAACGAAGTTGTGACAATTTCTACATCATATTCAGGTTTTCCTACTGATTTCTACCCAAAAAAAAAAGGTATTTTCAGTCAAGTCATTTGTTCTCCCCAAGAAAATATGGTATCTTTTTTCTTTCCTCATTTTAGTTTGTTAAACTCAAGACAACCGTTAATTACTTTTTACAACCGTCTATTGTCCAGTCTGTCTCAAGATAAGCATTAGAAGAGGTGTGCCTGGATAGTCAGGTGTGACTTCAGTGATGTTCATCAAAACGCCGAAGTAGTAGAGTGTTACAGTGTGCTCCCAGATACAACAGATGATGTTTTCCAACAACACCCATTTCCTTGAGGTCAGGGAGGCAGACGCAGTAATACGGACTATCTGAAGGTTTCACCTTTTTTTTCAAATAGCGTTCTGCAGGGAAGGCTAATACCAAAACACACAAGTTGACAGCAAAAAATCCTCAGTTCAACTACACCTGCCTTTCTGCAGCACATGTAATACTTTGCACACAGACATGTAAATATATACTCGCACAGTTTTAACACTAGTTCCTTTCCAGTATCCTGCTTTGTTATCCTCCGTAATTGCTAAATTGGAGTTTGAAGTCCTCAGTGGAGCTGCAAAGAAGTCGCTACGCGAGCCAAATTGACCTTTTAAGATGTTCTATGAACAACCTACGTTATAGATGAAAACCTACTTACCACTAAGGTAGTGGTTAACACTTTCTTCCCAGCAGTGTCATCTAGTCTTAAATCAAGTTCCTACACAATTTTATTGTGAATATCGTTTTGAAGGAGAAGCTTTCAAAGCAATTGGGTACTTTTATACACTAGGATACCTGAAACAACTTCAAAAAGTAAGTGTAATTAAATGATGCTCAACTCCTCTGTGGATATTCAATTAGAATAGCAGGACTTATTTCAAGGAGATTAATTACATTAGTAGTAAGTTAGCATTAATTTTTTTCAAGTGCTAAAATTAACGATGGCTTCAGAACACCGAAGATTCACTGCAGAGCAACAACAATCCAACTAAAAATTCTGTCTCATCAAAGCAAACGTGCTTCAAGAGCAGGATGTGAAAAATAGCCAGTATTTCAGTACCTACGTGTAAAAGAGCTTTCATAACACAATGAAGCTATGGATTAGATGTTCTGTTGATACTTATGAGATTAATTAGCACTAGCCTAAAACTCTACCACATCATCCACTGATGATCAGGTCATCAACCTTCTACAATACTAGTCACTATTGAGTGAACAGCATCATTTTAGACATCTGGTTTTAAACACGCATGCTTGTTTGGAGTTGAAATGTGTCAGGCTGACTCCCAACACAAAAGTACTAAGTGAACATAAGAAAATTCAAAATCCTTTCAGATGTTTACATTGTTATAATGATGATAAAGCTTCGCAGTCCAGGAAATATTTGCAAGCACTCATGCAATCTAATAACTCAAACTTCCGTTTTAAGTTCAAACTTGGCATGTATACAGTCCTCTAAAGAATGAATCTCTGCCAGGTTTAATTTATTGGTTGAGAACACCAACAGCAGTTACTGTGTGTACATCCTACTTACTTCTCTCAGAAATGTAAGGGTCTGAATACATATTTCTGCATAGCCATACATCAAAACCCCTGTTCTAGTTTCTGTAATTAGACCTTGAAACCAACCCTCACAGGTCAAGTGAGTGACACAGACTGAAATCTCTCAGAATATAAATCCATTTAAAAAAAAAAAACAAACAACCCACCAAAAAACAAAAACCACTTTCAAGGTGTTAGGGGTTTTTTTGGACAAACAGTCCTGTGCTGATTTCCAGCATGTATATTCATGACCCTCACTCATTAACACAGGAGAAAGCTAAAGAATCAAGAGAGTTCAGGTGACATGTAGTAACCTTCACTAAAACTAAGATGGCCTGTATTTATATAGCTTAAGCTGTCTAATTGATGCAGGAATTTTTAGGCTTCTAGACTGAAAATATGGTAACTACTACCAAGCTCAATTTAAGTCATATGTCACATTCTCATAGACATCATACCATTTCTACATCCCCCTTTCAAAGCAAATTAAAAATAGTCACTGCGTAATTTAAGGTGTGATTAATGCATGGTTTCTAAATACAAAAGCAACAGGTACGGGAGTTGAATTCACCATATCAAAATAATTTAAAATACTATCACATTATAGCACTCAGTAGTAAATGTATTGTTCCTCACATTATACAAATATGCACATTACCCAATCGTGTATGTATCCCTTAGGCTCTCTAAAAGCATCTTGCAGCTCTCTTAGTTTTTCAACCTAATGAAGATTGTGACATTCACAAGGAGCTGGGAGAGCCAGGCATTCTCTCTATTGAGATAATCTTCTTGAGAGATTGTAAGTACCTCAGTGAGGCAGTGAAATCTCAAAACAACCTATCTTCCCAGGAGAAGCAGCAACAGGTGCATAAGAATTTGTTTTGCAGTATGTCTGAAATCTCTAACTTTGAAATAAACATTTTTCAGAATACTCTAACACAAATGCAAGAAGGCATTTTCTTGTAACGTATTCAACCTGAAAGGAAGAGTCTAGTCAGAAAGCTGAAACACCAGGCATTAAGAAATCATCTATCCACCAAACAAAATGCACATTCCAATGACCTACTAAGTTGTTAAACTGAATATAAGATGCTACTTTTTATGTTCATTAAATAAATTACATAAAAACACACATGCTTTAAACACAAACTCAAAAACCTCTGATTTTTGTCCCAACATAAATGTAAACAACAGCAAAAAAAAAAAATTCTTTCACCAGTGCAATAGGTAGGAACCTACCAGTTACTTCTTTTTAACACAGCATACCACAACTCTGGATAGTTGTTTTAAACTTTAGTCAGTGTTTCTCAGACTTTTAGGAAACGAGACCATTCTTCCATCTTCATTAGCGGTGTCTCTCAGAGGAGTGGCAACAGCGTAGAAGAGATGCCAATATAGACCACAAACCATCGCCTTCAAGCATCCTTACTGTTTTCTCTCTGAGCGCTATAGCATGCTTTCATCAGGAAAGGGTACTGTCATTCAGAGAGCTACTCTGTAGGTACCAATCTCGAACTCAACTCCTGGTAAGTAGTTTCCACAGTTATTACCAAATAAATACACATATTTACTATTCTAAGTACTGACAACTCTTACAGAGCAAAATGTGAAACTAATTAAGAAAGCAACCAGGAAAACACCAAAAGAAAAATCTCGTCCTTTTCCACAGCACTTTTAATTCTCTTATCTAGATGTAGAGACACTGCAAAATAGCTGGCAAATTTAAATGCGTATGAAGTAGTACAGCATATAATCCAGCAGCGAGCATCTGCAGTTTAGTGCAACTTGCTTCAGGTACAGTTATGGGTACCACTTCCCATTAATTCTTCCTTCATCAAAAAAAACCTGCTCATGGTTAAGGAGACTAGAGAAGCAGTAGAAGTGGAAGTAACACTCGCAATTATCATAACCGACGTCAACAGGGAAGGAACCTGTGTGACTAAGCAATGTGGTACTTCTCTGTACATTGAGAATGTCCATTTTGTAACCCACTTACTGGTAGGCATCTCACGTGCCATGCAACTTATTCCATTTACAACGTGCAGAGAGAGCTGTCCACAAAACTGCATCCTTGTCTGCAGTTTTGGTTGGTCAGCGTTTTGTTCTTAACTGACCTGCTGGACTAATACATTGGTTCACACAGACTCACATACCACTACAAGATGGATGATACACATCTTTTCCAGTGTACTCTCCTGGACCCTACATGCACATCTTGCTCACATCATGTAAACATTTTTGATACAAAAATCCAAAGATGAATTACTTCGTCAAAGCACACAATCAACCATTCTTCAACTGTGTATAACAAGAATTGATATTGCAGTTTATATGTACTTCAGAAGCTACGTGCCGTGTTGTTCCCACACTTGCATCCTAACAGATGCAGCAGGATTCAGATAATACTGCTAATTGCTAGTAAAATAAACTTAGCAAAACGCAGACTCTGGAATTTAACAAGAAGGATCACAAGACCAACTGAGTAGTTAGTGCATTTATAAACTGTATTTAATGCATCATCTTTTAAAAACTCATGGGCTTTCTAAGACAACATCCCTGATGATCCACTTCTCAACAGTTTGGATTAAAGAACCACTACCAAGCCAGGTTAATTCCTTCACTATGCAATGCAGGAAAGGCTTGAGTCCTTGCTAAAACCAGAAAGATGTCACCAAACAAGGTCTCTTTGACCACAGGGCCCAGTCAAGACCTGCAAAACCACCTACTAGGGCCCTAGTTTGGTCTGTAGACCACAGCATGTGAGTCACTCCATTAAAAGCTCCAGAAGCTTTTCGTTTCCTTCCCTGAACACATAAAATAAAAAAATAAAATTCAAGGTGTGATTTCAATAAAAACACCTGGAAAGAGCAGTCTGCGCTTGCTGCATGGCACAGAAGTTACCTATGAGTAGAGCATATTGGCACAGCGAGTCAGCCAACAAACAGCACTGCAACGTTTTAACTCGCTCCACAGCAAACAGGAAGCTGAAAGCCGGCGTACTGCACACACCACTTACACCGGAGCACACAATACTAACAACAGTGAATTAGGTTTCACTCAGACCAGGTTTTTTCCCCGAGTACTGTAGAACTGAACAGCTGAACGCCTCCTCGCAGACACGCCTCTACCGCAGCACCCCCGAAAGCCGAAACACGTAACGCAATTTACGCTGCGATTGCAAGCACACGCAGACCAACTGCCAAGTTTCAGCTGTCGCTTGAAAACACGAAGCAAGCCGCCGCCGGGCGTTGTAGGGCGGGCCCCGGGAGGACTGGGGCAACTGAACGGCCGGCGGTCACGTACGCCGCCGCCCCGGGCACAGCCACCGAGCGAGGCCTGGGATACAGATAACCAATATGTGTCATTTGCTCCCGTGTCCAGGCGGATATCTCCATTACGGTAGCGCTCTTCATAGCCAGGACCTGGCTGAAATTTGCCCTCATGAGTCAAAGATAGGATGTCTCGCCAAGTTGATCCACTTTTGATCTGCCAAGTCACATGCAGGTGAGTGTGCTCTGGTGAGGCGGTAATTGCTGAGCAGCGCAACTTGAAGGAGTCACCCTCAGACAGCCTGAGAGACATTGAGGAACGTCCTTTTGAACCACTCACCAACAAGCCATCAGAAATCACTATTTAAAAAAGAAAAAGATGAAAAAAACATGGTCATCACAAAATGGACACAAGAAGAGAACATCCACACTGACCTGTTCAGGTATGAGGCAGTAAAACTATTACAGAGCAACATATGGCCAATTATTCCTTCTTCCACACATAAATATATTCCAGGAACAAGGAAATTCAGCTGAAAATCCATTAAAGGAAGTGCTTCACTTTAAACAAGCCAAGACAAGCATTCGAATTCATTTATCCTTCCCCTCTCTTTAGTTTCTCATCCAAACATCATCGTTCTGACTATTTGCATCCAGAACCATATTGATTTTCATGGGAGTAAAAAGATAAGATACATGAAAAAAATAGTCTCCCAAGTTATTTCTGCAGAACTCTATATCAGAGAGTAAAGCTAGGGCATGACAACAGTATCAACATGCTAAAGGGGAAAAGGCAGATGACCTCCTTCATACAGAAAGATTCCTAAATGACACTATAAATAAGAGAGAGAAGACAGGCTGTGTTTTTTACCTGAAGTTAGCCTCTCTACCTAGAGGCTTAGGGACATTAAGTATTTGCACACATCTTCAGAAAACCCACTGCTTATTTTTCCCATTTTTATTTACTTATTTACTAGACAGAAAAAAGGAAAGTGGTATTTATAGTAAACAGCCTCTCTTCTCTTTTTCACCTTACTTGCCTTTATTACCATTCTTCACAATTTTCGATTCTGGCTTTAGGAAAATTAAACAGGAACAGGGAGAAGAAAAAAGAAATCACAGCATTCATAAGCAACAGAAATTCGCGTCTGCAGGAGAGAGGCGAGGCGCGAGGCCTGGCGCCGGGCGAGCAGAGGAGGTGCAGGAGGAGCGCGCCGAGGCCTGGAGGTGCTGCCAGACCTACAGCGACACAGTGCGGGAGGGATAATGGGGGTTACGCATGAGCGGGGCACTGGGTGAGTGCTGTCATGACCCTGCCGCGCAGCGTGCAGAACACCTGAAGAAAAGCCCCTTGGGCCAGCGGGGCTGGGACACCTCATGCACGTGAACAAGCATTTACCTTGGCAGTTCTGTACCTTGGCTCCTCACCTCTCCCTGGGGTGGCACAGGCCAGTTACCGGCCACAGCCTCTTCCCCAGACAGTCTCTCACACCGAGGTCAAGTTTAAGCCCATCAACCACGCAGTGCCCTTAGGCGGGTTTATCTGGCCAAGCTTACCTCGCTGACAGCACTGGGGCTGCTTCTTGAACGTGAACCAGAAGCCATGCAGACAGCAGAACAACGTTTATTAAAGGCACAGGGGAAAATGTAAAAGCATCAGACATTTTCAAGAGCTCCTACTTGTATATAAAGAGTGAAACAATTTACAGTACAATTATCTGTGCCTATAATACATTTAAACAGGACATTTTTGAGTCTACCCTGCCTCCTCCTAGAATTTAAAACAAGGAAAAGAAACAACGAAAATACCTTTTCATCACCTTACACAACTGCAACTAGGGATGCCTACAAACCCATAGCATCTCCAGAGGCTTTTGGGTTTTTTTGCAGTAAGACTGTAAGGATTAAGTCACTGGAAGTCTTGCTGGATGTTCTCCTTGTTTGCTTCCCCATGCTGCTGTTTGATTTGTGAAATTTCATTTTCTAGCTGCACAATAGTTCGTTCAATCTCGTAATTTTTACTGACAAGAGAGACCCATCTGGAAGGGAAAAGAAATAAAAAAGCCTTATTTAACAGTCCCCTGGTTTAAAATCAAAGACAGTTATTGCTCCAAAGAAAGCACAAAGACACCAAATAATGCAGTATTTTTCTCAGTACATGATAAACCTCAGCTGGTATCAATGGTAATTTGAACAACCAAAGTGACAAAAGGTAGGTCTTAACCCTGTTTAACATACAAAATTCAATTTACTAGACTCAAATCCACTAACTGCTAATATTTAGATAAAGAAGAAACAATTTAGCCAATTTCAAGCAGCTAATATGCCTCCTTTTCAAATCTGTTGCTCCTTGATTCACTCAACCACAATAACTATTATGTAGACCTGAATTACAAATCCTTTAAAACATTTTGTGCAAAGCAACAGTATTCACATGATAACATCCTGCAATAGGACTGGAAGACCACTGATGCTCTGCCTGGAAGAATTTCAAGCACAAGATATACATGTGGAAGATTTAACAGAAAAATTCTAGATACTCACGTAGATTCCATTTCTCGTAGTTTAGCCCCAGCTGTGAGCTGCGTGTTCTTTCGTTGCCAGTTCAGATCTTGAATGTTTTTCCTGGGGAGAAAAAGATCTATGTATTTTTTTGTCTCCTTTCTTTAAAATTTGTAGTACCTGCTGCTAATTTCAAAATACACCTCATCTCCAGAAGTGCTACCAGAAAACACTTGTGTAGCCAGGACCACAACTACAACATACAGACGGACAAATCCCAATACAGGGCTGTACGCAGAACCCTGAGATAAATTAAAAAAAAAAAAAAAAAAAAAAAACCACAACAAACCCCCTCCCCCCCCAAAACCCCAAAAAGCAAACATAAACCAAAATGACAAAAAAATCAAAACCAACAAAAATAACAAAAAAGCCTTCTACTCTACTACAAGCAAAACTTCAAACATCCAAGCCTACTGCTCCTAGACAAGTGCAGAGCAGAGACAATATTTTATTCTCTCTGAAAAAAAAGTCAGAAAAGCAAAGATGAATGGCTGATCAATGACAAAATTCAGTAATTCAGTGAAGAGCCTGAGAAGTGCAGAATACTTAAAATACGTCGGTCCCTACGTGGCTCTTAGTGCACACTGCTAACCCTCTTATTCTGTTAGCCTCCTTGCCATGCACTGTGGTGTTCCTTTAGCCTTCCCAACTTGAGTTCTGCATCTACCCTGTCCCATGGTGATTCTGGACAAGGCAATCATTCCAGCTAATTTAAACACGCAGGTACTCATAAAAGATATGAATCGCTACACAGCTTGCCTTGTCCCAGTACACAGTCCCATCTTCAGGCTGAAAACGACAGCCTGATTCACCTAAATCTGAAAGCTGAAAAGCTTTACTTGCCAAGTCCATAGCACACATTCTAAATAGAGTGAATTATGAAGGTGCATCATTTCAATATGGTACAACCTCCATCCCCAAGTAACCCATCTCTGTAAACTCATTAAAGCATCCACTTTAAAATGATGGGCCAAATCTAACATAAGGGAACATGTCTTCACTGGAACAACTGCACACTGAATAAAAGTCTATCAGCAGTGAAAAGAACATGACTGCATTTCAGAGAGGATTCCACCACGATTCATTCTGTTCAAAGCAAGATGTTCAGACAAAACAAAATAAACCCAAACAAAACAAACACAGAGTTTGAGTGGAACAGGCATTATGAATGTAACCACTTGGGGAGGGCAGTATCAGATTTCTTAATGATTGTTATCATGGGGTCTTTTTTCCTATGACCATGGCAGGAACACATACACAAGCCTTTGTGTATCTTGGGGAGGGGTGGGGAGAAGAGGGGTTCGCTTTCCTTCCAATCTCAGTATGAAAATATGAAAAAGAATGACTTACCTCAACTTCTGAAGCTCTTTCTGGGCTTGTTCTATCATGTGAACCAGGTGTCTAATACCAGAACGCAAGCAAAGCATTAGGAAAGCATACAATTGCTAGACCAGACCCATTTAACCTGCCACTTAACCCTTCAGAGTTAAGGACGCAACAAGCCACTGCAACACAAACACTAGACAACTTGTCATGTCAGTGCCATCTGTGCCCTTCACTCCTGAAGGGAACGACATCATGCCACAACACTCTTGATTGTAACATATTCAGTCTGAAGACACAAACCTTCAATAATCACTATGGTCAGCCCTTGCCATGAGACAGCATCATAAAATCATATCCATTAGCTGATTACGTTTTATCTTCAAGCTTGTTACTGTATGCTTGTGCTATTCTGACTAGAACGCTACTGTAACACCTCCCTACCTTATCATCCATCTTCAAATTTTAATTCTAAAATTACCTGTAACCAATTTTTGTTTCCCTCCTATACCATAGAGCACAAAGTTCTTTTTGCTTCCCGACATATGTGAGAACTAGCAGATCCTCCACCTGCCTCCCTTCTCCTAAACTAAGCAACCTTCCGCCTTCTCTCACAGGTGAGTTTTGCATTCCTTTTGTCTACACCTGTATCTAAGGCTAAGCTAACCCTTCTCGAAAGTGGACATTAACGTTCTCTGCCTGAAATAACCCTGGTGCTTCCCACAGTCATACAGTCTACAAATTTTTTTTTTTTGCTTTTGCTACAGCTTTAGTAATAATGGCTCCAGGCCGAGCAGCAGCAGTAGTAAGTCATCTTTATTTCTACTACTGAATTATCATTTCGCAGGCTGTCATTAGTCCCTTTAGTTATCCCCAGTTAAAGCCCATTATCACCAACTGCCACCTGAACAATAACTCGCAAAATTCAAGATTGAGATGTATTGAAACACAGGCTATTTGTTGGCCACAGAGACGGCTCCTTCTCTTTCAGATCAGCATCCTCTTCTTCTACATATAACTCTCTCAAAGGGGCTCAGTTATTCCAGAATGCGTTCTAAAGATTCCCACTGGACCTACACAGGGGAACGCAGAGAAACTGAAGTCAGAACTCCAACTAGGTTCAGCAAAGCAGACAAAGGCCTTACTCGTTGTACACCTTCCACGCGTTGCAACCATGCTGAGACATTAACTCCAGGTTCTCGATGCGGACCGCCTGGTGCTCCAGCTGCGCCATGGAGTTGTTCACACACTCCTGCCACGCCGTGATATCGTTCTTCTGCCCGGAG